GGGACTCGTCGGGAGTGAGGCATTTATCTCACACGGTCCTTCTCCAGAGTCTTTGTTAAGTGTCTCCCAATCGTCTCCGTGAAAACGGAATGCAGTGCGGGGGGTGGTTCACAATCCTCTGTTTTAGGGTTTCTTGACGATTTTGCTGACGCTCATGAGGTATTGCCATTACATTTGCTCGCGGCGATCACTTCATCTTTTTCAGGATCCCGTGTTTTGGCAGGAACCAGATCGGGTGGCAGTTTACAGAATTGGGTTGATTTGACCTAATTTGGGTTGGCCAGAGTTTGGAGCTCATTTGTCAGCTTTGACATGAGGAGGTCGTGGAACTCGGGTTGATTAGTTTTGAGAAACTTTTTCCTCGTTTGATTATTCTCGTGGCTCTTTGTCGCATTGGTCGCATCCTTCTGCCTACCTAGCTCGAGGACCAGCTCCTGGAATGGGACCTGGCATTCTCCTTGGGGGTTGGTTTCTGCTTTCAGTCAGGAGCCTCTGTTCATCTGAATTTGCGCCTGTCATTGAATTTATTGGGGGTTCAAGACCGAATTGGAGTTCGCAGGTCTTTCGATCGTGGCAATTTATCGTGATTGTCACTTGTTACTCATCCATCGTTCTTACCACAATGTGCTGCCTTCTTCAACGACAAAAGGGTATATGCATGATGAGATCGTGAAAAAAGTTATCCACTTTGAATGGAGATATCTAACTTCGTTTATTGCATGGATAACTAGCTTCGTATATTGCAAAGAGAGGCAGTCTTATTGCCGCGGGTTGAGGATGAAAAATAAAAAAACTAAGTGTGTTACAGATACGCTCTGATTAGCAAGTTCAAGGACTATTGTTTGTAATAGCTTTTTTGCTTGAATAGTGAACATGGGCACGCCCCTATTGTTCGACCTCTTTTCACTTCAAACATAAGTTTGACTTCTGCACAATCGCTTATCACTCGGGGACATTTATCTTTACAGAATATCTCGGGTTCTAGAGCGGAAACTGCTGCATAGGGATGCAGACTTTTGTAATCCAAGGTAAGATTGCACTGTTACCCTCTAGGTTCATTCGGCGTAATCTCCTGGACCTCAGCCTCACGCCCTTGCGACTCCGTGCGTAAACCTCTTGAAAACATCTTTGACCTTGGGTTAAAAGTTACAAAATCTGGAAATTGGTATTTTCTAAATGCCGATGCGATCCCTAGTTAATTTACTTCGTTAAATAATTTGAATATAGTGGTCTGCTGATGGACGAAAGGTGGTTGTGCCTGCGTTCATTATGGCGTTTTTGTGTCATTCTGATCTTGTTCATATCTCTGCGTTTTGGATTCTCGCTCAGATTATCTGCATGATTTGAAATTTGCTGTCCAGTGCTGGGTTACGGAATGAAGATCTATGTGCTCCTCTAAGAAATCATGATCTCCGGTCACAATTTGAAGCACGATGGATCGACAACGAGGCTTCACAGGAAAATTTTATCGGTAGAAGATCGCTGCACGAGAATTGAGATCGACAGATCAAAGCCAGGATTCAGGCTGAAAAGGAGAATGCTGTAGCCGAAGTGGGCACGAGGAAGGTCCAAGCTTATTTTTTAGCTGCAATTGCATTAAAGCGTGCTGAATATATTCGAAAACGTAAAGGTAGCTTTCCAACAGAGTTCAACACGTATCTTGGGTCCAAAAAACATGTCTGAAGGTGCTCATCACTTTGTTGTGTTGGAGAAATTGAAACTTACTGTTGCTTCAGAGAGCAATTTCTTTCACAGTACGTGTCGCAGATCTTGAGGTTCCCTTGCTTTTCCTTCACGGGAGGTCGGGATATTGTCAACGTGGCCTCTCAGGTACTATTCCAGCTCCAGCGTTATCCTTTCATGCATTGGTAATGATTTGAGTTTTGTGCTTTCAATGTTTTGGGCATGAAGAAAATACAAGTGGAATCTTATCTTCGATGTTTAGACAACAAGCTCCTGTTTTTATTTGCTTGACAATACTCATTCCTGGATTTTCATTGTCAGTAAGGAAGATATGTTTCTGGAATTCAATAACAGGAAATTTGTTTGTTACAGGTGCCCTTGTAGATGGATGAAACCTGTGTCTTCATTTTTCTTAAATATTTCGTTCCAGATAGTCTGAAAGTACAGAACAGTTTCATTTGTATGTTCTCATTCAGGACTGCAGGTACCACTTTGTATCCTTTCCTCAGATAGATGAGGCATGAGAGCAAAATTCAAACAAATCATCAACTGGGTAAGCGGGATATGCACTTTTTTTCCCATCACATTCCGGCTGATCGGAACACCGCCTCAGCATTAGGGGCATTCTTGAAGGTTTATTTACCTTAGTTTAACTGTTTCTTTGTGCTCCAAATCTCATTCGTATGACCCAGTCTTTGTCATCTCAAACATGCTGTCAGCTGTTTTGGTCGATTTACACGAGCATGAGTAGAAAGTGTTTTATTGTGTTGCCATGATGGACTAGTAACATGTTGAAATTGTTCCCGGCAACCGTTACAAATGACGGGGTTGAAACCCTCATGCTAGCTTTTCTCATTAGCTTGTTGAAAAGCACAGGTGACGCAGATTGCAGAGCTGCAGTTTTCATGAACTCGAGTGTAGGAAGATGCCTTCCTTGAAAGCCTGGTCTTGTCTGAAAACGTTGGGCCACTTTGTATATTCTGTACTCTCCCAGCAGTGTTCTCGTGTGATTTTTTTAGATCACCGCAGGCGTCATTGATATTAAGCCGTTGATCGAGTCTTATCCTGTTCTCACTCAGATTTGTGAGGTCAGGTACGAGATGATGTCTTCAACAATCCTATTAGCGATCGCTAGCACTCCAGAATGGGATCAAGCACTTTTTGGAATCAGTGGGATCTAGAATCTAAATTTGAAAGTTAAAAAGAATGGAGCTCGAAGATTCCAGTTTTCCGCTATGTGGTCGCTGCCATCAGTTTTCCTACCAATTTTCCATTCCTCTACCGCGAATCGTACGCTTTCTCTTCGACTCAACGACCCGAATTATTTGACACGGTTCTCCTGAAAAGTGAGATGCTGTCAGTTCCCAAAAGAGGATCAAGACCTGGTAAAGGAAGGTGTGGCAATGTGGCAGTTCTAGGGGCCCCATTGGATTCCGAAGTACACAGATCACAAAGTGTGCATCGCTTTGCTACGTTTCTCATATTCCAGAAGACACTTCACTTGCCATACAACGTTTTGCCGGATTCTTTTTACCTTATCCTTGTTTCTGCGACAGAAAATAAGTAGATTAGAACAACTCAAAGACAATGATAACAACTTTCTTACCCCCAATTTCAAATGCCACGCAGCGAAGACAGCTGCGACTTACGAAGTTTTCTTGTCGTGGGTCCCCAGGAATTGCACGGTAACAACACCACCAGAATGAAAGATGATTGCTCCAGTCTTTCCGCCTCACCACTGAACCACATATCAATGCTCCTATAGAAACCTTGTCGAGGAAATGTGTCGGAACCCATGAGCGCGTTGTGAGTGCATCTATACTCGCAGAGGGAGACCCATCAGACGGCTGCAAGAGATTCTCGCGGTGATTCTATAAAGTGAACTCGGCGTAAGCTAATTAAAGTATCTTCAAAGCATTGTCGCCTGTGATGCGCTCTGCCACTCTCCAACTTTTATGGAAGGACCGCGCGAGGGTAGTATATTTTTAGTATATTCGGATTCAATGGCACAGACTGAGGCTGTCACAACATTCAGAACTTGGTCTCATGTGTGGTGCTGGGTAACTTATCAGCATTACGGCGGTACTTGGAACCCTCAACTGTAGACTAGGCCTAGGGTGTGGTAGCCTGTTCCCAACAGTGATCGCACGGTTGCGGTGCTTCAGAGAATCCGATGGCACCAGGGATTAGGAGCCGATCATCGTGCCAGAAATCATTGAGATAGGCGGTGGTGAAGCAATTCTTATAAAGCCACAGAGGACGTCAGCTGCCCATAACTTGCCCTTGCAGGATGAGAATTGCACATGTGAGCCCTCCCACCGATCGTGCTTCAGAATCCTAGAAGCTGGGAGGGACAATGCTCACGTTCGAATTTAAACATTCCCCAATTTTTTTTGACTGGATGCTTTCATGGGTTGTCTCAAGAATGGTAGACTTAGTTTACAAAGCGCTGCACACTTTCACACACACACACCACTCACGCTCTGAGAATAGGCTCAGCATCGAAGGAAGACGGGGCCACCAGTTTAATAAGAGTCGCCCTTGTGAGGATTTCTCCCCCTCCCCTACAGTATGCAGCAGACAACATCAGTAACAGTAAATATCTTGCATGTTCCGTATATTCTGAGAGGTGGTCATTTGTCGTTGTTCGACACCATTTGAAATCTGCAACTGTGCCCCTCCCCTCCCGGCCTTCAAATTCACAAGCGCAATGTTCGATTACCTGTAAAGCGACAGAACCCACATACATGACTGCGCAATTCTCGTGTCAATACACATCATGATACGCATATTTTAATAACCATGGCTGCTCGCACGTAACCGGATGTCACCCACTCCTCCATTCGCCGAATTGTTACTATCGTAAATAATGTTTGTCACACGGATGGAAGCGGATCTCGACCGTCAGTGAGCGACTGGAGAGGAATCACTAGAATTGCAGTTACACATTAAGTGTGGCACCTCAAGTGGGAGTAGTTGCGCAAACTTGACAACCCAACGGAGTAAATATAGGAAAACCGCCTATTATGGGCGTTGAATTATATTAAAATAGTGCATTATGCAGGGCCCTCCTCATGCTACAAATCCGAGCTCTTGACAACAGTTTGCCTCATTCTCGCCTGCTCGCCTCCCCCCGCTCCAGTTGTGCATACTTCCTCTGTCGGCCATCCGCAACCCTCTCAGAGGCTCTCCGAGTGCCGCTCGTGACACAGCCATCGGGAGTTGCTGCCGTACCCGTCTCGGCTTGGAGCAGTGGTGGATTCCTGTGAATTTGGTTTTATTCCACCACGCTACTAATTCTTTTTCTTCAGGTAACTTCGCGCGCTAGTTTCAGATCACAATATTCCATGTGGCTCTTGTCTTGTTCTACACTGTGTAGTCCCTTTTATGTGCTACGCCTTGACTGTGTGATGGCTCCTCTTGGGTTGGTTAAGAGAAGAACCAGATGTTGGCGAGAAGTGTTGCAAGTTCGGTCCACGGTCAGGCGTGTAACGCCGCTAGCATCTAACTTGGTCTTGCGTAGAAGTTGGTCCTGTTCTTGGTTCGTCTCGGGAGTTTGGTTTGTGGTTTAACTTAGGCATGAAGTAGTTCATGATTTTAGAGGTTGTAGGTGTCGAACAATGCTCAGTGCATTCTCCTTCCTACTTGAGCGTTAAGTAACGAGTTGTGACGCGTGAGTTGTCTCACACGCGAACTTCTTGAAAACTCCTTGGTGTACAGCCTTGGGAAGACGTGAGATCACAGACACGCCACACAAAGATGATAATTTTAACCCTCGAAGATTAGAAACGTGAAGCGCGAAAACACGCACATGCTGCCTTTCCCTTCTAGTTGCATGGCATAGTGTCTCGCAAGTGCCTCGGGGAGTTTTCTCCTCGTGTCCGCGGAGTTACAGTTTAACATGTTTTTTCTTTCGGTCAGGTGCATATATACACCCTAGGTTATATGTTCTGCGACTAGATTGCCATGCGTCATTTGTTATCTTGATTGGTGCTGTGAGTCCTGTTCTGGGTCTTTTTGTCGACCCTCTGTAGACGTGAACAGCTAAGTGTATTGAATTTGGAATATAGACTGTCAACTAGAGGACTCAGAGTTTGCGCGGAAAGTTCATGTTTAACTACAGTGACTCTTCTGACCAGTTGCTTGTGGGGTAAGGATGTGTTGTGTGTACATGTCTCACCTTGTCTCGATTGATCGTGGGTTTTGTGGAGCACTTTGTGCGCAGGCTTGTGGAGAAGATAATAGTTATATGTGATGATGTCTGCGGAAAGCAAGTTTGGGGAATGGTGTGGGGAATTGCAGGCCAATTCGAGGCAGCTTCTTTTGTCTCCTTGGCTTTGTGTGTGGGGAAGATGTGAGTATGGCGTGATCTAGAATACTAGACACCGTGACTTGATTTGTTTTGTTGTGTAATATCAAGAGATAACTCTGTGCAGCTAGACTCTGTACACTAGACTGGCTGCCAGAAATGTCCTGAAACGAAGGGATGGAGTTTGCTTTTCACTGTAGTCGACTGACGAAAGGTGGGTACTATCAACTTACAGGTCGGTTGACGCCCTTTTTCAAGGGCGGAACAGAGTATGTCTTTGGTGTGCTTCCCATTCAAGGAAGAAGATGTCGCAGTGGTGGTTGGTAATATAGAGTGCGCAGCATCGCATCCCCGGGTTGCAGCCATTTTGTGTGTGGGCTACTCGCAAGGAGAGACGTGGCACGCCATTGAAGCTGCTAAGCCACGCATTGAGAGAGCTACAGGAAAGGAAATTTTTCTGGTGCTGCAGCGACGGATTGGTGTGAGCCTTCGTGGAGGCAAAGGTGATGGCATGAACACGGCACTAGCTTTCTTTCTGGAGAAGGACGTGTATCCGCGTCTGCACTTCTACGACGCTGATATTGTCTCGTTCTCCGGAGAGTGGATTTCCAAAGCAGAGAAGCAGGCGGATCTCGACTACGATATCGTCCGTCATTACTTCCCGAGATCCAGCACGGATGCCATGATCACATGGCTTGTGACGAAGCTGGGGTTTGCTATGCTGTGGCCCAACTCGACTTTGCCTTTCATTGAGCAACCCCTCGGTGGAGAACTCCTGCTAACGAAAAAGGCGGCTGAAGTGCTCTACGGAGACCACCGTGTTCGATCTCAAAGTGACTGGGGGATAGATACTCTTTACACTTTTGTCACCGCACAAGCAGGTCTACGTCTCGCTGAGGTTTACATCTCTGAAGGGAAGGTCCATGCGCTATATGGTGGTCTTCGAGATCTCCGGACTATGCTCGTGGAATGTTTCTCAGCGGTGCAGTCGCTACGTAAGGAAATTCTTCCCAGTGAAGATGGAGCAGTTCACTGCATTGAACCAGCTAAGGCCGTCCCGGACTTGATCAAACAAAAAGTCGGGTACGACATAGAAAAGACATTGAAGCTGTTGAAGAGCAATTGGACACCTCGACAGCAGGAGCTTCTGCACCAGCATTTTGACTCTGCCCTTGTGAAGGGATTGTTGAACTCTGCCGAGTGGCCGTGCTGGAGTTTCGCAGATGAAGATGCCTGGACAAGCGCATATCTAAAATTCCTCGACCACTTCGAGAAGGGAGATAGTGATTGGGAGGAGCTTCTGTTTAAGGTTTGGGTGGCCCGGGTACTGAACCACACTTTCAAGAATGTAATGCGTGGGTACGACAGTGCCCTAGGTGCTTTGCGTGACTTGGTGTGGGACACTCGCCACCAGTTTGCTGTTAAGCTTAAAGCCAATTCCGTCCCCAACCACGCCATCGTGTCGGGCCACTCAGCTGCAGAGGGGCTGGTCACCCGAGCTCAATCCGGCCGCAAGAAACCCAAATTCGAGGTTGAAAATCTGTGTACAGTGCAACAGTAACTCATGAGAAACGCATCTCGTGGCGACCATTTCCTTTCGTCTCACAATATGAAGCCGGACGTCAAGTTCACGCATCCTGCACAACCACAAGAATGGTGTTCCGTAACGAAGGAGTATTGCTTAGAGTAATTGAGGAAGAGTGGCAATGTGAACGACGGGCTTTGAAATGATAAATGAGAATCAGGCTGGAGAAGATGTGATGTACTATACCTAAGGTGAATCTGTTGATGCTTGTGGTCCACAGATAGTCACATACAGTACTTGTAAGTAGCAGATTTTTGATGTGTATTCAACCACTAGAACGAGGTGGATTGATTGAAACCACGTGAAGTCTGCCAATGTCAGTTCCTTTCCAATGTGGGATAGATCGAGGTTCGGTTCTAGCTTACCTATATCTCTGTCTACATTACTACATAATAGCCATTACTTCAGCTTCTACATTACATTTTTGGTTCAATTTACATGGAATGTGTATTGAAAGATCGTCGCTTCTTTTTTTTATTTATTTTTTTGCTTTTTGTGTCTACGTATGCTAAAGTTAAACTACATATACAGCCTAACAACTAATCAGGATCGATCTCCGTGGTTTGTAAAATGCACCATCGTTTTGTGCAGCCAAACAATAATCATTGTACTATTCTAATTTACACTCCACGTCTAAAATTCATTTTCATCTCATGAAATAGATGAATATCATTCTTTGTCTGTGGAACATGGAATGGGAAAACAACCCCATGTCTTGCTTGCTTTGATTACATTTATGTGCTGTGCTCAACTGTTAAAATATGTGTTTTGTCCGCAACTTTCTGTACGAAATAAATGAAAGGGAGAAATTATCACTCTAATGCATCCCTTTATTCCAATTTCTCTGAGAACTTCAAATAAATAAATAAATATATTGGATTCGATTCAATTTTTTGTTTTTAAAATTATTATTGTTTTAAAACATTAAGTGAACTGACCTCTTTGTCGGTTAATAGTTTCCATGCAACGGTAAAATCTCAAAAAGGGACTCCAACTTTAATGATATATTTATCTTGGGTTCTACACTACAATTTTACTTTCTTTTTTTAAAATATAGTTTGTATTCTCTCATCAAAATCTTTTCAAATATTTTTAGACATTTTAGTTCACTCAAGTCTTTTGGGAAATTAAGATTTGAGTCTTTTACTACTCTGCTCTTTTAAAATTTATCAATTTAAACTAGACACTTCATATGTTTAATAGTTTTTGTAATATAGATTTATAATAACCAAACAAGCAACCTTAAAAAAAAATAGTGGTCAATTTTAAATAAGCTTATGCTCAAAATAAATGAGATTTTTTGTACAAGAACTAAAATAAGAAATAAAAAATAGACAAAAAATTTATATTTTAAAAATATTTAATTTAATTAATTTATTTATTGAATGTAAGTCTACCTATTCAATAAAATAATTGATGAGTATCCAAGATATAAGAAAATAACTCAAGTACAAGTTTAATAGATATTTTTAAGCCTTTAATATCTAAAAAATTAATTTTAGATTTAAATTCATGTTTTACATTTTTTTTTAAGAACTGAAAAGGATTATCAATTTAGAGAGAACATAAATAGATCAAATATGCAATTATTTAAGAAGGATGTTTTTTTAATGAATATTTTAATTTTAATTTTAAAATAATTTTAGATTATAAAAATATTCTCCACAATTAGATACTTAGTGAATTTTTATTTTAATTCTATATAAAAAAGAAAAAATATCACACATGCCCTTGAATTTTTCCAAACTATCAAGAATATCCCTCAATTCTCGATAATAACAAATCTACTTGTGTCTTTTGTGATAATTGAAAATTTTCCTTTCAGAGTGATAATATATTATTTTCGTTTTTTATAGTTTGAATTGGGGCTCAAAGCAATACCTTTTTGCATTGTCTAGGCCCCCCACAAATTGGACGCCTCTGCCTTCACTAGAGTTGCAAAAATATCAACCATGTACCAAGAGAAAGGAATGGCTTAGGATTGAAGAGAGTTGTACTAGTAAGTTATATATTATACAGGACAACGGAGAGGTATCCAAGAATCTAGCTCTGTAAGAAAGCTAGTGATGTCAATATAAGTGAAGGGAAGATTTTGCCCTCAAACACAAATGTTGTATGTCAAAGTAGGTGAACATTGCGACTAATGGCATTATCTTAGGTGAAGCTAAGAATCATAAGTGAGTCAATTTTGGATCATCATCAGTAAAGGTGAAGATTTTTATCTATACATGGACCATTGCTTAGTATGTTTGGTCCTATACAGCATCAAAATAATATTTTTACTTCTGTCATAACTTCACTAAGTTATATCAAGTTTAAAAAAGTACAACCAAGGATTAGATGTCAATGAGCATGGTTGAGCAAGTTGACATCCTTTCTTTTGATCTCAATTTATTCGTTGTTTTTGCAATTTGTTGTTCTTCGTTTTGTATACAGCTTCGTTTTTGAATGTATGAATGATGATTGTTTTAGATTCCTAAAGGATCTAAAATTTAGGAACTTAAAGGTGTAGGTGTAATTTTTGAAAGATGTGGATGGGATACATTCATGTACTAATACAAAAAACATCAAGCAAACTGATGTAGGACAGCAGTGCTTTTGCAATCATTGTTTGTATTACAATTAAGGATTTTAGCAACAAAAGGTCTTGTAGATCTAAGATCCTAAGTTTAGTAATAGAAGCTGATCTCATCAGCTAAAATCCTTTATAGTCGCTAAATGGCTGAGTTTAGTGTCTAGAAAAATTTACCATTTTATGGCACTTCACAATCTTTCAGCTAATATGAAATAATTAATAAATGAAGCATGCAAAATACTATGGATTACAAGAAAAGTTCACGAGAAATTTGATTCAGGATATAACTCTATGCATAGATTATCCAAGGGTTATTTAGCAAAGATATTTTAATTTTAGAACATAATTTGTTAACTGAATGAAGTTCTTTAAGTTGATAGTTTCATGAATTTCTAAACATTACTAAAGTTTGCACAAGTTTTTCAAAGTATCAATTAGAGTGGTCAAAATGGTGGCATTGATGGTTAAGATGTGTTGTAGTATAACTCTTTGGTATTTGCATTTAATTTGTATGTATTTTAGACCTTAATCCTTGTATCTATTAGAATCCCATATAACATTCTGTGATCTACCAAGTAAGTTGTAGTAAGGAATTCTAATATGTCATTGACCAACAATTGCAACTAATATTTAGGCATCTCTACTTCCATTTTTCTCAAAAAACATGCTCAAAATTGGTCACTACCACTTGGATAAGGATATAAATTTTGTATTGAGTTGGTTTCAAGTGACGAGAGGCTAAAAATTGACAATTGAAGAGTCAAAAATAAAAAATTTATAGAATTAAATAGTGGTGGTGGAGACAATGTAGTCAAGGGCCCTAGATTAAAACTAGCTAACAATACTAGGAGCTCGCAAAAATGAGCAGCTTACAAAAACTAACTCACAGAAATTAGCACTTTGCAAAAACTTTGAATTGTGTCAATGTTTGAGAGTGAAGAGACAAAATTTATAAGAAGGAGATGAGCAATTTGCAATACCCACTCCAAGAGGTGGCGTCCATTTTGGAAGGTGCCCAAGAAGTGAGCAAAAAGTGCTATACAAATTCTGTGCAGCATGTTTGAACTAAAAAAAAAAAAAAAAAAAAAAAAAAAAAGAATTAGATAGGTTATTAGTCCAAAGGGCATTTTTGAAATTAACTTAAAAGACAAGGGTAGGTTTGGTATTATCAAGAATTGAGGGAGATTCTTTATTTTTTGGAATTTTTTGGAGCATGTGTGATATTTTTTTCTATAATAAAACATACCATTTTATTTTTACAAAATATAAAATAGAGTACCATAATAGAATCCTAAATTTATCAATGTACACATTGACTTGATAAAGTAGCCACTTTACTTTAAAATATCTTTAAAATAGTCCACATTAAACTGAAAACATCTTTTCAGCCATTAACTTAAATCTCAACTCATAGAATAATTCCAAAAAGGAAGTCAAATTTACAATCAATATCAATAAAATCCATGACCACCTTATCCACTTTTATATGAATAGTTGGTTAAACATGATAAGAAGTTGTGATAAACCTCAAAAATTCAAATATTAGATTGGATTATACCAACAACAAGAGGACTTTGAATTTTAAATAAATTACCTCAACAAAGAAAAATTAAACCTTAAGAAGAAATAATGATTCTTATTAGCAACCAATTTAGTTATCAAACTTTATAAAGTAGATAGCCTCACCAGAATGCTATATTATGACTAAGATCTATTGAAATTCAATGTCAAAATAAGCAATACCAATGCTCAAGAAAGAATTAATATCATTGAAAGATTTTCTAAAATGATCAAAGTGGCCTTAAATGCAAAGGCTTCCTAACAAAAGAAAATAGACAATGAGATCAACATATTTTATAGATCACTTAACAAATTATTATTTGATCCTTACAAATATTATCTGTATACATATGATGAATTTATGACATACTCTTCTAAACTTAAAAAGAACTATCAAAAAAAATGCTTGAGAAAATAATTTTTGACAAGCAACTTTTATAAAATCTTATTAAAATCAAATGGCAATTGATAATTCCTATAAAAACAATTTCAATTAGAAGGATGTATGGTATAAACATAGGGCTAGCAAAGAAGCCACGCTTATCTGGCTAATATAGCATAAAAATGCAGTAGAGAATGCTCGGAGAGCAAATGTGTATATGATTATTCTCTTCAAATTTATTAAGAAATTTATATAAATTTTGGCATTGTCAACAAACAAGACGTAAATAGGAGTGGGTCACTTCGATTGTGTAAAGATTGACCTCTAGTCTAAGCCACTGGGATACATTAAAATTTGAGAAAAGAACCGAATAAAGTTGATTTGTTTTTTGAAAATGTGGAATATGTTATAGACAGAAAAATGGTTGATTGGTGTTAGAATGGAAATAAAAACAAGATGGAATTCTAGGATTCATCTGAGTATTCTGATTATGCATGATGTACCAACTGCATAATTTAAACCATTTATATGATGATTCTAGTGAGTCTATTTGTACTGTTTTTAGACTTGCTATAGCAATAGAATATAAGAGATCAAGATGAGATGCAATTTCTAACAATTGTTAATCCTAAACATTGGAAATATACCATTTTTTGTATAAACAAAAAAAGTAAAAGTAAAAGTAAAAGTAAATAAAAATTAATTAAAATTAATTATGTATAAGATATTTTATATTTTGAATCAAATTTTCCAAACTTAATTCAATATTTTGGTAAATAAGTATATTGATAAACTTTTCATACTTTACAAAAAAACTGTATTGAATAACTTAAGGTATAAAACAGATATTAATTAGCGCAGTATTTTTTATAAAATACATTAAATGTTTCATCAACCAATGCCAACTTTTCAAGAT